CTTACTTATTGGACGGCATGCGACAAAGAACGCTAATTGGTTGTGCGTCGCTCGCTTGCCTAAAGCTGCATAGTGCATACATATACTCTCTCTCTCTCTCTTTCTCATTAGCTGCTTCCTTGCGACACTTTCCTTTGGGCTTGCTTGTTCTCGCTCGGCAATCATCGGTGGCTGAAACAAAGGTGAATAGTTAGACGCATTTTTCACTATGCGCCCAACGCTGACCATCATGCCTTGCCGAGAGTAAAGGGAACCAAGGGAAAGCAAACTGCTTGCCCTTGTCACATATGGAATGCATTCAACATAGCCAAATGGAACATCAGCATGAAATCCCTGGAAGAGCTCATTATACCATCAAAGTATCATTATACCTACAAAGAGCATTATCAAGCTACCTAAAGAACCAAATTCTGCATTGTGACAACACCGATAGCACACATTCTTACATCATGAGAAGAGTGCCACAGAAATCTGTTCTCGGGCCCTTACAGTAGAAAATTTGATATGACGAAGATTGTAGCTTTTGCCGATAATGTTGCTCTCGTAATAAGTATGAAGAGCATTGAAGAAACAAAATACTTCGGAAATATCTCAATTAGAATAGTGGCGAAATAGCTGAGAGACCATGAACTGCGTGTGGTGGTGGAAAAAACCGAGGCGATACTCGTCTCTCGCATGGAGACAAGAAAATAAGCCTTCACAGTGGAAGATAAAAAAATGTACAATCATTAGATACAGTGAATTAATCAAGAATTACCTTGGAGTGCGACTATCATATAGAGATCATCTTTAGAGTACAGGTCTGAAGGCATCAAAAGTTGTATAGGCACTGGCAGGCATCATGCCTAATATCTGGGGACCAAAATAGCTGAGAAGGTCTGTCGTTTCTTCAGTGTTGAGTTCAGTGATCTTATACGGAGCTCCTATTTTAAGCTTTAAAGAACATAAGAGCTACGCAGGATCATGTCAAAGTGTATGCAGAATAGCTGCTCTAAGAATCACCCGGGCTTATCGCACCAACTGCTATATTGTTAGATTTGGAAGACAAGTAATATTCTTTATATTTCACTACTCCATTAGGAAATTTGACAATGTCAATATTTCCATTTTTATTTCAGATATTTCCGTTGTATTATCTTCATTTGGAATCACAACATCACGTTTAATATTTTCTAAATTACTGTCTTTGGAACAGCTTTGGTCTTCATCTGTTAATAGCATACTAACTTCTCACTTATTTGTGTCCAGGACATTTTCTTTGTTAATGATGGACATATTAGTATCTATTTTTTCTACTTCAGGTTTTTATGTTTTACATTGTTTTCTCCATCTTTAAGTTTTCTAATTTTTACTTTTATACGTTGATAATGCAAGTGTTTAGTTTGTTTTCATTTTCTTTTTAATTTGGTGTCACATTGCCTAGGTTTATTCCACTCTTCGATTAGATCTGGATTAGAAATATTTTCTAGGTACTTTGCATTTATTTTGCTTTTACTTCTTTTTAAGTTAACTGCAATATTTAATTTTCCAGCAACCTCTTTTGCATTTGTTTCAAGCGCTCGTACTAAATCACAAATTGAAGAATTTGTAAAACCTTTCAATGTTTCATTTTTCAAATTATTAAAACTGCTTTCAACATAAGCATTACTTATTCTAGATATATTGTTATCTATTATATCTAAATCAAGACCACTCCATAAGACTAAGTATGGCATCCAAAAATCTACAAGGTGTTACATAAACCCTGGTGCATAGTACACGTTTGTCACGATATTGGCATTATAATTATTTTTAATGTCGATATTTTCTTTCTCAATAATCCATTTTGACAAGTATTTTTTATAAAATGGAGATTTTTTATACATTCCTTTGAAACGTTCTTCAGTAGCATCGAATTCGTATACGAGGGTGGTCCGATAAGTACTTAGCCTCACCGCCCGATGGCGCCACTCTCGCAAAAGAAATATTCTATCACGTAGTACAACCTTCTCGATGGTAACTGTCAAGATTTTAGCCGGATCGGAGTTGTAGTTTATTTTTGAGAGCGTGTGAAAGCAAGTGAGTCCGTTGATTTTTGAAAAATGGAAAAAGAACAGTATCGGTCGGTGATTCGATTCTTGTGTTTGGAAGGGAAATCGCGCAGCGAAATCAAAAAGCGTTTGGATGCTGTGTACGATGACTCTTCTCCTCAAAAATTGGTTTAACGAGTTTCAACGTGGTCGCACGTCGATTTTTGAAGAGCCACGTCCAGGTGCCCCGAAAACGGCTACCGAGAATAACGTGACAAAAATTCACGATCTCGTATTGGCAGATCGACGATTGAAGGTGCGCGAGATAGCTAAGAACGTAGGAATCTCAAAAGACCACGTGGGTCATGTTCTGCATGAAATTTTGGGCATGAGAAAACTATCGGCGCGATGGGTACCACGTTTGTTCACTCCGGACAACAAGCGCAACCGTAAGATAACTTCAGAGTAATGTCTGACGCTGTTTAAGCGCAATCCGAAAGTTTCTGCGTCGTTTCGTGACAGTCGACGAAACATGGATCCACTGGTATATACCACTGGATTCACAAGGTGTGATCTACATCGACTACCTGGAAAGGGGCAAAACGGTCACAGGGCTATACTATGCCGAATTATTGGGCCGAATCGACGTCGAATTGCAAAAAAAAACGGCCCCATTTGGCGAAGAAAAAAGTGCTCTTCCACCATGGCAACGCACCGGCTCACACCTCCGCTGTCGCAATGGCCAAATTGGTCGAATTAGGCTACGAACTGCTGCCCCATCCACCGTATTCTCCAGATTTAGCCCCGTGCGACTTCTTTTTGTTTCCAAACTTGAAAAAGCCACTCGCCGGGCAGAATGAGGAGGTAATCGCTGCCACGGAAGCCTACTTTTCAGACCTCGAGGAAACGTATTTTTCAGACGGGTTAAAGAAGTTGGAGCATCGCTGGGCCAAGTGTATCGAACTAAAGACTATGTTGAAAAAAAAACGCCACTTTTCCAAAATTTTCTTTTTTCTTTTGTAGGCTGAGTATTTATCGGACCACCCTCGTATAGGATAGAAAAGTATCATGAAGGAAATCGTACTGAAGAGTGTCATGCTGATAGACACAATGAACTTTGGATAAAATTAACGTTCCAAAAGTGGCAGCGGAACTGGGATCAAGACGCAAAAGGTCGTTGAACCAACCGCCGCATTATCGCACATATCAAAAAGTGGACGAGCAGAAACTGCGGCCTCGTCACTTTCCAACTAACTAAGATACTTACTAGCCATGGCTGCTTCTTAGATATCTCCACCGCATCGGTATGTACGAGAGCGCCGAAATCTCGAACTATCCTGTCACTGACGAAAATGTGGAACATATTTTTTCGAATGTCCCCGTTTTTTAGAGAAGTTAACACCTTTCACCATGGAATTAAGCAACCCAATGTCTCCCGAAGCCCTGGGGATTGCATGCTTGGTTCACCGGAAGGATGGGAGGCAATTATCCACATCAGTAGTAAATCAGCTGACCAACATCAGAAGAAATAATGAAAGAAGATGTATCTAGGCTATAATGCAGAGATAGTGCAATGCGCCAAACTAAACCAGGAAAACTCCACCTAATTTAAAGAAACGGAGGTGTTGAGGTTGAATCTTAATAGAGACGGACCGGACGATGCCGAAAGAAGAAGATAGAAGAACCGAAGAAACGAAGCTGAATCAGCCGATGCCTCTCCTGTGAAATAATGCCTAGCGGCGGTTCCCGCGGGGGTTATAGGTAAAACAGAGAGACAGAAGTATAGAAAACTGTAGTCTGTTGATTTATGTTAATATTTGTCGCCTAAAGTCCATAATATATGAATTGCTAAAAGTTTGGATGATTTGAAACTTTAGAAATAATATATAATAATTATAATATCGATTTATAAAATAAAAAAATAAAAATTTTTTGAAAGTTACGTGGATCTCTTCTCTTATAGTAAATAAATCTTTCAGTGAAAAACTATGGGGACATTTCTTAGAAAATTCAAATAACCAAAATCAAATAAAGCTTTTTAATAAATGATTAATTAATAAATCAATTTCATGCAACCATTGCGATATTGAACAGATATTTGTCTCGATGAACGAAAAGACAATAAAGTGTTACCTGAGAGAAAAATAATGACCACGTAACAGAAAAAAATGAATCGCGGTATTCAGGGAAAGATGGGCTGATGACCCGGTGTCAGAATTTGAAAAATTTTTACCGGCCGTAGCCGAACTACACATGCCTGCTCCGAATTGAAGCAATTTTCCTTCATATTGAGTGAACTAAAGTCAGGTACATATGGTTTTCAAGGATTTTCAGAATGTTATCGAGGCAAGGTTCATCATGTAGTGAATTGGGCTCGATCAAGGAAACGTAGATCCGGCAAAGCAGAAACATCTTTATTCCTTCGGGAGTGTATCTCTTGTAAATATCTTCCAATGGTATACTCGTTCAAATGTTATGGAAAATACTAGTGCCCCGCTGCAGAATCTTAGAGGTATATTCTTGGCCGCTTGTAGATGAATACACATCATTACGAGATAATAAATCATTAATTTTAACTTAATTAATTCTTTTTAACAAATTGTAGATTTATTCAATCTGGCTCATCACTGCATGACACAAATCATTTCTAAAATCAATACTCACGTAACGTAAGTACGAATTCGTGATGTTCCAGCAGAACATCAGTGACTATTTTTATATTATAGTACAATAGTTAGACTTGCGATAAGACTGAGTTGACGGATGAGAGTGAAATAAATACCCTCACGCCCGTGAAAGCTCAAAATTCGAAAATAAGAAATAATTTTGAATAGGTTTTCAAATTGTTACGTCTATTGTTATTGTGCTATTTTATTAGATAAAAATTTTTTTAAAACAATTACAGAATTTTGTTTGGAATAAATGACAACACATTTAGATTCGTCTTTAAAATAAATAATATGTATTATTACAATTTTGAGAATTATTTACCATATTTGGTGGAGAAACATCCATGAAAATATTAGACATCGATAAACTGTATCCTTGCTGCGCTAAAGCACATAACTTCAAAGCAACAAATACTCCAGACTTATCTAAATAACCACGAGATCCAGGGTCAGAAAGATCCCATATTTTACTAAGTATAATATCACTCAAATTCGATTTTTTCAAAAACTTAGCAGCTTCTATAGCTCTTATTTGCCCACAGTTTTCAGGATCAACCTGTAAAATGATTTATACATTCAAATATGTCAGATCGTAGCAGTTATTTATGAAGAATTTCAAATATTTAACAACAGTCTTGAACATAAAATAAAAAATGGTCGTATATGATGAATATTTTTTCCTACAAACGTGTATAATTTTAGTAATTTTGAAACTGCAAAAACAGTTGGTTTTTTTACTATTGACGTAGAAACTCTAATTGCGTCTATCGAATACGTTTTTCATTAAATAATCATTATGTTATTATCATAAAGCCTGTTTCATGCATAAAAATCAGTTATTATGATTTCAAAAAATACTTCTTTATACGATTGTATAGGGAATACTAATAATACGAATATATTATTCATTATTGATATATGTAAAGGACCAAAAGACCTTAGTTGCACACATGTGCCAGACATTTTCTTAGTTCCGAGCGGCCTCGATCTATGATTAATTATTTAATAAATTATATGGTTAATATAATTCAATGAATTCTAAACTACTTAGGTAATAAGGCAAGAAATGAGGAAGGTACATGTTATATACTTGATCCAATAAAATCTCCAATGGTTTGTAATTTAATTATAATAGATGCGATGTGCGTATTATAATATTTCTTTAATAAGTCAAATGTGTCTATTTAGAATAATGATGATCTAAGAAATTATGTTACATTATGTCTGAACTATTTTCAATGACTGCAAACTTCTTGATATTATAGTAATGATACTTGAGTAAACTTTATGAAAAATAAAATTGGTAATTGTATATACGTATTTAGAAACGAATTCGTAAGTTCATCCGTGCTCGATATTGGCATATTATAACTATATTTATCTGAAAAAGAATGCAGCCGAGCCAGAAAGAGCACGATTAGGATAACGTCAGTCTTCTATTCTCCACGATCTCAAAAACAAAGATATGCAAGCGTTCAGATGTTGACCCTTGCACTTCGGAGCGCTGAAGGAGTCGTGCGGCAACAGTTCACACATTTTATTGCTGTCTAAATACCTACGAGAAAACAACTGCGCATATTGGATCATCAAATTTTACATCGTTATTATTTATACGCTATATATATATATATATATATATATATATATATATATATATATATATATATATAGGTCATTCTTTGTTAACCAGACCCACCACTCTTTCTAAAATTGGTGATGTCCAAAAAAATTCACGCGATAGATGAATTTTCCTTTCCTCCTCTAGTTTCCAATTCCATGTGGCCTTTTGTAGAAATTAAAAATTGCGGACTTCATACGGTGATTTAAACTTGAAATGCTCCTAAAAATGTTCCGACATTTAAAAATATCTTGTCCAATTTAAATGTTATATTTTTCATAAATTACAAATTTCACATGGAAATATGATATTGCGCTCAAAATCTACCTTCATACTCAAGGTCATTTGATGGTCAAATCAAAAATATCTTGTTAATACCTACTTTTTCACTGGTCATCTATTTATAACTAAAAGAATCACGATACTTGTACTCGTATCTTTTTGGTGTCACTGGATCTAAATCCGTGGTCTGTTTACCCTTATTTGGTGTGGGTCAAGGTTAATTAAAAGTCGAGTCGGTAAAAAGTAGTCGTTGAATGTAGTTTAAAATAGACATAATCTTTATTTGTGTTGAAAAATTTATAAAGATAGTGTAACATTAATGCAATAATGTAATATTATGATGTAATTGAAGTAAATGTAATATTAATTTTTGAATAAATTATTGAATTTTCTGAAACCTGATTTGATAGATAAATGACCTATAACCCTAATTCTTTATTTTATGTTTTACTTTTACTTGTTTTTTTTTTACTTTTTCCTTTGATTGCCTTTGTATTTAAAAAATATAATTTTAGATCAAAATTGTAAATTGTGCATAAAACGCGTAATTTCAATTTGCTATAGTTTTGTTCGAATGATAGAAAATAATTAGAAAAATATCCTTCAATTAACTTTAACCCAGACCAAATAAGGGCAAATAGACCACGGATTTATATTCCGCGATACAAAAAATATACAAGTACCATGATTCATCCAGTTACAAATAGATGTCCAGTTAAAATGTAGCTATTAACAAAATTTTTCTAATTTGACCTTCAAATGATCTTGAAAATGAAGGTTAATCTTGAGCGCAATACCATATTCCTATGTAAAATATGACGCTGAATCAATTTCATCTTATTAAACTAGAGGAGAAAAAGACAATTTTAAGATGTCGCGTGATTTTTTTGAACATCACAAATTTTGGAAAGAGTGGAGAGTCCGGTTGACAAAGAAATACCTATATACACGAGAAATACCTATATATACCTCGTGTGTGTGTGTCTGTGTGTGTATAATTCTAAGAAAAAAGATTGTTACTTAATAATACTTGTCTCTTAGAAATACTGCCGTACTCGACAATGAAATAGTTAACAAAGAAATATACATTTGCATTCAGTACTTATACCGGGTGTCCAAAAAGTAACAATACACCTGAGAAATTTTCTAAGCCGGTTATTTTTTTAACCGGGTGAAGGTTGTTCTTGAAGTAACTTTTTACGAGGAATCCGATGGTAACCTTGGATTTGACCTTGAACCTCATTTTCAAGGTTATTTTGAGGTCAACCTCATTTTTTTATATGGAAACCCCTATTTTTTATGGCGGAATCGGAAAGAGCGGAAAATTTTACGTCCAGATATGTATTGAGGTATGAGGTTGAGGTAACCCCTAGAGGTCAACTAGAGGTCAAAGTATGAATTTTTAAAAATCTCGCGAATTCAGTTATTAAACAAAACAAACAAAAGGATAAACCCAGGTAACTTTCAACGGTACTCTTTAATTTGTTCTTCAACCTCATTTTCAAGGTTATTTTGAGGTCAACCTCATTTTTTTTAATGGGTACCCCTATTTTTTATAGCGGAATCTAAAAAAGTGATGAAGACTCTCACGTATGGATGAGTTGAGGTTTGAGGCTAATGTGACCTCTAGGGGTCAGATGAAGGTCAAACTGTGGCTTTGTAATAGTACCGGGATTTTAGTGGTACAAGGAAGCAAATAAAGGTCATGGAAACCCCCATTTTCGACAGCGGCAATCGAAAGAGCGGAAAATTTTACATCCAAATATCTACTTAGATCATAAGTCAAGGGCGAACTTAAAGTTTAAGGTCAGTCGAAGGTCATCCAAACTTAAAGACGCCCTAAAATTTTTTAAAGTTTTTTTCATAATGGAGAAGGGTATTTATTTAGTAATTGCCCATCGGAGATCCGTAACCTTGAATTTAACCTTCAACCTCATTATCAAGGTTTTTTCAAGATCAATTTTTTTTACTTTTAGCGTTACCCAGGAACAACGACGTGGACGTAGTAAAATCTGTCTCCTTGGGGTGCTTTATTTTCGTGAGTTCCCCTCGCCTCTCACGATCGGGATGCTTGATTTTCGTGAGTTCCCCTCGCCTCTCACGATCGGGGTGCTTGATTTTCGTGAGTTCCTCTCGCCTCTCACGATCGGGGTGCTTGATTTTCGTGAGTTCCCCTGGCCTCTCACGTATGATTTATCTTACATCAGCACATCTTATTTTAAGTGCTCGAATTGTTCACCGTTCACTTCTTGACAGTAAGCTAATCGGTGGTAAAAAGCATCAACAGCATTTTGGATCATTTCAGTGGGAATGAGAGCTGATTCGTCTATGATCCTTTGACGTAATTAGTCCAAGTTTTGGGATTTAGTTTTGTATACCCGATCCTTTAAATAACCCCAATAGAAATAATCTAAAGGCGTCAAATCGGGGGACCTAGCTGGCCATTCAATTCTGCCTCTCCTTCCTATCCACCGATTATCAAACACCTCATCTAAGTCAATTCGAACGTCTCGTCCATAGTGAGCTGCAGCACCAACCTGCTGATACCATGTATTTTCGAAGTTGTCTCCGACTATTTCTCTAATTGCTGGAACTATTTGATTACGAAGATTCTCTTCATAATTTTGAGCGTTTAAGTTACCATCAATAAAGAATGGCCCTATGATTCGATTATTCACTATTCCAGCCCAAACATTCAACTTCTGCGGATATTGCGATTTATCTTCTCGCATCCAGTGTGGATTTTCCGCAGCCCAGTACCTGCAATTATATCGATTTAATATTCCGTCAAGTTGAAAAGTTGCTTCATCAAAGAAAACTATGTTTGATGGAAGATTTGGATTTTCAATTATGCGTGCCATCATATCTTCACAAAACTCAACACGACGATCGAAATCGTCTTCATTCAACTTGTGAACCAGGTGTACTTTAAACGGATGGAATTTTGCTGTTTTTAAAATGATATGTACGGACGATGTACTTATATCATGCTCTTGAGCAACTCTGCGGATGGAATTATGTGGATTTTCAGTGAATGATAATAGAACATTTAATAAATTCTCTTCATTTGTTGCTGAGCGTGGTCTGCCTGACTTAGGTAGATTTCTGACATGGCCAAAATTTACAAACCTTGAAATAGTATTCTGAACAGTAGACACAGCAATTGGAGTTCTATTAACCTGAAATGTCTCATTAAAAAGATTTCTCACTGCCCTGTAAGATCTTTCTACTCCACCCCAGCCTCTCATCATAAGAAGTGATATTCTTTCTCGTTCAGTGAGGCGTTCCATTTTAAGTCAGCGAATCGAAATTTATTCAAAAATCAATCAGAATTAAAAACAAAAAGTTTGCAATCCAAATAAATGTTTTCAAAAAATGAAAATTATAATTTGAGTACTTTTACAAAAAAGTTCTACTACAGTCCGACTAATGCACTAATGCTTTATGGAGATTTTCGAATGGTAAAATATTTTCAAATATGTTGCTTTTTTTAATATTAATTTTTGAAAATGCAATTGTCCCGAAGAATAAGCTCAAAACGATAAAGTTAGGCATAGTACATTTCCTAAGGATAAAACCAAGTAAAATTGTTAGTGGATTTTCAATGAATAAATATGGGATAGTAACCTTAAAAAGTTTAACCGGCTAATCAAGTT